AACCCCACATTCTCCAGCCCTTCCTTCCCCACGACGCTCTCACCCGCCCCCGCCATCCCCACACCCACCCCCCACACATGCACTTCCCCCAACTCCTACACACGCACTTCCCCCAACTCCCACAGCGCATCACCTGTCCCTAACGTCCCCTAATCCTTCGATTCCTGTTACATCAATTCTCCCTTCAATGAACAACAAGACACATACACGGAAATCGCGTCCGACTGCGATCCAGATTCCGAGGGGGGACACAGAGCATGCCACAACTACCCCGGGAGATCCAAGTTATAACCTTCCCTACTCCGCAAATAACTCTCGGTTTCCGCGAGATATCACGGTCACTCCACGCTCGTCCATGGCAACCTTGCGCCCCACCACTCTCGTTTCCACACCAATTCAGGACACGCGCGATCCATTGCCATTGTCATTCCCTCTTCCTCCATTGTCTCCCCCGGTAAATACCGAAAGTCCACGAAAAAGTTGCTTCTCCCCTTCCCGCTCATTAGCCTCACCAAGCTCTGCCACGGTACGCCGAACATCCTCTGCCCGTATTGGTGCGCCATCAGGCAGTCCAATCACACCACGAAGAAAAGCTGAATCCGCTCGTGGTGGAGAAGCAATTGACAAGGGTCTCGATATACCAAGGAGGTTGCCGAAACCGTTGGGACGAGTGCAACTTGTTCAAGAAACGAACAGAATTGTCCCTCCGCCTCATGTGAGCTCTCATGTCAGGGCTGACTCGGATACATTGGCAGATATAGACCTGCAGATGGCTATGGAAATACATAGTCAGACTATCTCTCAACCTAGCGACCTTGTTCTCCGAAAACAGACACCACCTCCCCACAGCGAATCACTCTCCCTCGCAGAGACGCGTGCTCAACGACGGATTCAGAATCATCTTCTTATGCTACCTGCAGAGATAAGGGGTATCGAACGAGCTGATTCACCGACAATTCCAGGCGCTGATATGTGTGTGGAGGGAGTCGAGCAGGCTGCGCAATCTCCGGGTCTAGCCCAGTCTAGCCATCAAATCTCTTATGTAGGAGAATTTCAAACGAGTCAGCCAAAAACGCCAAATTCCAAACGCGATGTAAACCGCAGCAATATCTCCATTTCACGTTTTGTTGAAACTCCGGTTACATCTTCCTCAGATGATGAGGGACATTTGAAGGTTGACCGGTGGCTTGCGGGGAGCCCAACAGATACAGAGAAGTCCATTTCGACAACTGCATCATTGAATGCGTGGCGCGGCACAATGGGTGATAGGGATGGAGAAGAGGACATAATACCTGTGATCGAACACGTGGCTTTGGAGATTGCGGAGAGGGCTGCTGATAGCATACTAATGAGAAAAGGTGAAGAGGCCAGAAAGCGCAGAAGTTTATTCAGTAAAAAAGAAAGGCACGTTGTGAGTAATATCTCCTCGATGTGAGATCGCGAATTATTTACTAATTCAGGTTACGTTAGACCTTGACCATATCACCACCTGCTTGAGCTATGGTCTCCGTAAGTCACTACGATCATCCTCCTCAGTTTCTTTCTCCAACAACTCCGGACCGTTACTTGTCCTCGTTCTATACAGTCACATTCTTTTACTGTTTTTAGTTCATATCACCAACGCACTCCTTACTCTTCGACATTCTTTCATCCTCATTGTCAAAGCATATATAGCTTTAACTTAATTACTTGTACTTTCCCCCGTGTGCTGTATGTAAGGCCGCGTACAGAAGAGATATCATTCAATTGATACCAACTTTGTTGAGTTAGTTTGAGAGCATGAGGTCCAATCAGGGCCAACAGTGTGCCGAGCGCATGGGTCGTAACACTATCACTCTCACCAATCTTGTCAACATACTCAAAGGGTTACTGCCAATGACATTCAAACAGACCCTTATGAAAGAACCACAGATGGTGACACTCCCCAACAACCCTTCCCCTGTCTTCTTTCATGACTAGCTGATACATCCCATCATTAGGATATGACAGAAAGCTTATGGTCATTGGGTATCTATGGTACACAAAGCAGACCAATTGCCTCCCAACTTTGCATGACCTTAAAATCTGCAAGATCATAGGGCCACTTCATAACAAATGAGAGGAATGGGGACAAGCGATCTTACAACTAGGAGGTTCTGACAAGGAAGTGTGGGGTGGAGTCCCTGGCAGACTACAGGATTTTGCATAACATAGCTCTTTGGACTGGGGAGCACTATGAAGGATAGACTGCAAATAGTGCAATATTCTATAGGGGAATTGAGTATCATTCTTGTTTAACATTTTATTTATATTTTTACATATTTTATCCTTCACTTAAAATACAAGATATATCTTGTATTTAGTAGTATGAAGGTCCATGTGTGTTTGTGGGCATATGAGTGCCTGACAACCACTACCTGCACAATGCAAGTATTGGTTTGGGATTCTGTCTCAATACAACTGCATCACTGCTCTTTACATCTCAACAGTAAGCAAAACTTTGCACTGAAATAGTTGAAGTTTGCTTGCTACTACTCAACTCATCTCTAAGGTTAATACATACTTTGCACAATAGAATACATCTGATAAAGCTATTCCATTCCTTTTTCATAGTAGCAACTTTTCCCTCAAAACCCTCTTAATTCTACAAGCAGTTCCCCAATTGCACCTCTAAATTGATCTCTGTTCTGGCTACCATCAGTCTGATCACACCTTAAGGTCAATCCCCTTTCTTACTACTCATCTCATCAATCACACCTTGAGAGCCAATCTTACTTCTATCATGTTAGATTATCAGACTATTATATTACTTAGCTATTACTATTCTAATAGTCAATATTATCATCACACTGTTATAAGTCAATTTTGCTCACACATTGAGTGGTAATTTACTTGACTCTTCACAGGTAGAGCTTCTTTTTGTTGTTAAAAAAGAATTTTCTTTATAGGAAAAGAATGGTCTGGCCTGGATCACCACTGTGAAGAGTTGTAGTAATTCCAACCATTCAATATATAAAGAGTATTGACCTTCTAGGTATAATATGGGTGTACATATATTGACTATCAAAGTACAATACAAGTGTAAGGACTGTTAGTGTGAAGAGTCGATAGATTCTGACCACTCAATATACAAAGAATAGTGTTTATTCAACTACTATTAGAAAGTATTGACCGTTCAGTACAATACTATAGATTACTAGACTGATAGTACTAGTATAGGGATGCACTACATGTCACAAGAGCAATTGTACAGTTGCTCGTGATGACTAGAACAAGAGAATAGAAGAGTTGACCTTTACGGTACAACTGGTAGCTAGAAGTAAGATAGATAATCAGTGAAAGACTGAATATCTAGGGTGGAGAGATAGCAGCGTGAGTTGACTACAGTGTCGATGAGCACAGAGTCTTGAGAGTGGAACTCGACCTTTGTGGTTCGAGTCCAAATACTATTAGTATGCAAGAAGACACTACCTTTATGGGTAGCTGAGATATTACCCTTGACACCTCTCGCTATTTGACATCTGAGTCGTTACAAGGTGGTGTCTGCTGGGTAAAAAGGTGTCTGTCATTTGACGCCGAGAGCACCCATAGATATACACAAGGCTTCGAACTAAGAAATAAGGGTATGCTCGAAAGATATAGAGAATTAGAGAAAAGAAATAAAAACTAGATAATAAAGTACTATAATATGTCTATTATTCCACAGTCCAATCATGATATATGCATACCCTTCACAGTTAGTTGTTAAGCAACTGTATAGTATCTGGAGGTGACTAGACTAAAGAAAATGGAATTGATCTTAACAGTACAATTCCAGATGAAATGAGTCCAATGAAATGGGGTAAGGGTAGGAGACAGTTTACAAAAGGAATAGAGGGATGTGAGGAAGTATTGATAGTGATAAGCAAGTTTGAGTGATGTATTCTAAGCTTTGACTGTAAAGTGCAAAGCTGAGAGATAAGTATTGTAGTTCTAAGATGGCTGAGATAATGTTAAGATCTAAGCAAGAGATTGGGAGGAGGCTCTATTTCAGGGAGCTGACAATAGAGATCATACTAGTTGGGGGGTCTGACTCTATAAAATGGGTGGAGCTTGGCTTTAACTTATGTATGTGTTGCACCCTCATACAAACTGTTGAGGTGCTCTGGTATTTCAAACAGAGCGGATAGTACAATAAGAACTAAGGACAACACTTAGCTTACTTGACTGGGGGGCTGACATACTAAGAGTTGTAACATAGAGGGTCACAGCTTGCTGATGACACCTTAGAAGGTATTAGGGAGGGAGTAAATAGACTGAAGACTAAATGGGGGCAATCTAAGTCAATATTAGAACTGAGGAGTAGTAGCATACCATACATACATATTAGGAACTTTATACAAAAGTGTAACAGATGAGTGGGAGCTGATCAAGGAAGTGGGAAACAGTGACAGGTCAAGGAAGTACAGGAAAGGGCAAGGATCAGACTAAAACTATATGCAATGTGGTAAAAGCATTCTAGGGGGTATGAGGTGGCAAAATATTATTTACAAGTAGAATGGGCAATGGGAGAGTGTTGGGACAGAGATGGAATGATGAAAGGGAAAAACCATATTGACACAAGTGTCAGGGTGCTACTATGGGTGGTGATACTATGGTCAGGGGTATTGATAGTGGGATGCTGGAAGATGGGGAGAGTAGAATTGTTAGAAATGGGAAAATACAATATCTATAAGTGACAGACTGCTATAAGACCCAGGTTTGCCATCACAAGTTGGCATCAGAAGTCCATATATATATATGTATGTACAGTGGGGGACAAAACTGTTCCAATGATTTTTTATATGTTAAAGAATGTTGAATAACTCACTAAGTACTTGACCAATTGACCTGAAATTTTTAATTTAGGTAGTCATATATGTTGGCTATATATCCTAAGAATTATATGACATAAGCATTGTTTGTCATCAAACTATAAATCAAATCCATCATATATATATAATCCATCATACATGCATATGTACATATAACACTAGACTATAGATCCAGTAGCTCAGTGGTTAAGAGCACCTGCATATACATAAAGAAGCCAGGAGGTCCTTGGTTCAATCCCAAGCTGGGTGAATTCTTTTTTATACCTTTAACAAGAATGAGGTTGTGGGGGTGTTAGAGTACGTATACAATGGGTTTCTGGAGAAACCCACGGAATATCCGGTAGGACTTGGCTTCAGCTTATAGGCTGTGCCCTCACAAGATCGTGTTGTCCAATTTCAGACAGGCAGACGGGAATCCCGGGGAGTCCAGGCAGGGTTCATGGGTCGAGGGATTGTAGGGCAGAGGTCATGGGTCGAGAGGTTGTGAGTCAAGATAGATAATAGAGATAGATGCGCCGGAGCCTGTGGGCTCCAACTAGTGTGAGCAGTGTGATTCAAGTAGAAGTTTAGAGTGGAAAATGTATTAGATTACTGGGGGGAATCTAAGCTGATTTTCTAACTGGATTGTATTGTACAACATCTGCCAGACTATATAGACCGTGGAATGAATGACATACCAAATCCAGTAATAATGAAATGAAACTAGCAAAACATAAAACAAGAATAGTAAACACCAAATTTGGTGTTAGGAATGGGACAGAACAGAGTGGAGTCTGAATTGTGATAAATCATAAACCATAATGGGAAACAGAGCAGGAGCGGAGTCCAAATCGTGACAGGTCATTTGACTAGAACGGGAATGGGGCTCAGTTAGAGGGGTGATGGGTTTTCTGAGTGGGGTCCGGTGACTGATGTGTGGGATGAGGTCAGATATAGATGGGGACGGAGTCCGGTGGGTATTCTGGTGATTGATACACAACATAACAAAGTTGAACGTAGACAAGTCTGATGTACAGAGTCTGGCAGGAATTCCAGTAAACTGACTAGGGTGTGGGTGCGTATAGGTTAGTGCCTGGAGTCCGGCAGGAATTCCGGTTGTAACAGGGGGGCCAAATGACTGGGATCCTCATAGACAATTTCCCAATCACAGCTTGCAGTAGATACTCAAGTGATGTCTTTGGTAAATTGTGGTTTCAGGTAAAGTGTCTTGTTTGACACTTAGGGTGTCTACTAGTATATACATATGCATGTGTCTATATGTCTATGAGTGTCTACACACCTACAGGTATACTGTACATAGACCTTCAAACAATTAATAGGAGATATTCAATGAATATTTCAAAAAAATAAAAGGAAATACATATAATGCATAAAAAAAACAAAAAAATTGGAAATTATAGTAGTAGTGCAAGTTCTTAGAAACTTAGCCCTATCTCTCACACCAATGATGTCTTGAAGAGGATTAAGTAAAAGAGTAGGATAGTCCTGTTATGATCTTTACTTGAAGTACTCTGTGAGTCATTTAGATTAACTGCATGCAGTCTTATTTCATTACAGAGTCCTTGTCCTAGATCCAAGTTCTGAAGAAGCATCAATGGGACTCCAGGTTTCAAATGCAATAGTGACAATCTGTTAGGATCCTCATCTTTTTGGACTCCCACAGCTTGTTTTCACTCTGACAAACCTCTGGTATCCCATTATTGGTGCCACTGACTGTGACATCATTGCCCTTAGCATCCCAACACCTGGTTTACTATAGATTACCTTTTTAATTATTCCATTCTACTCCTATCCTGACACTTTCCCACTATTTGTTCTATGGATACACATTATTTACCATCTCAAACTGTTTTTAGTATTCTACTATTACTTTGCATTTAGTTTCTATTGTCCCTCCATCCTATCACTTGCTTCTTTTGATCCATTTGCCTTTTTACCTCCATGATTAGTTTTCCAATCATCTGTCATTTTAGTATATAACTCTCATCCTGTATGCTATAGTTCTTCAGTTCAAATATTGACTTACATAAGTTCCCAGCAGGAGAGCTAGCATTCATCCTTTGAATAACAACTATTCCAACTTGTTAAGAGTCATGTGCAGAGCTTATCGGAGGGTTTCTGGAGAAACCCGTGGGAAAGCCAGTAGGACTTGGCTTCAGCTTATAGGCTGCACCCTGGTGAGATTGTCTTGTCCAATTTCAGATGGGCAGACGGGAATCCCGGGGAGTCTGGGAGGGGTTCGTGGGTTGAGAGGTCGAGGAGTCAACTGTGGGAATCCCACGGAAGTCAAGGGGTTGGGCAGAGATAAATCGGGGGTCAAGATAGATAGATCGGAGGTCAAGTGATAGATAGGTCAGAGCCTGTGGGCTCCAATGAGGTAAAGCAGTGTGTTTCAAAGAGGAGATTAGAGCGGAAACTATACTTGAGATTACTGGGGAGAATCTAAGCTGATTTTCTGACTGGATTGTACATATGTACATACAACATCTGCCAGACTATATAGACTGTGGAATGTATAACATATCAAATCCAGTAATAATGAAAACTAAACTAGCAAACATGAAATGAGACAAGTAAACACCAAACTTGGTATTAGGAATGGAACAGAGTGGAGTGGAGTCCAAATCATGACAGGTCATTAAACCATAATGGGAATGGGGTGGGAGCAGAGTCTGAATTGTGACAGGTCATTTGACCATAATGGGAATGGGGCTCAGTTAGAGAGCTGTCGGATTTTCCATATGGGGTCCGGTGACTGGTGTGTGGGACAGAGTCAGAGATAGACAGGAGCGGAGTCTGGTGGGTATTCCGATGACTGATACATGGAGTGATGAAGGTCGAGCATGGATAGGTCTGATGTCCAGAGTCCAGCAGGTATTCTGGTAAACTGATAATTGGTGTGTGTAGGATGCAGGTGCATATAAGTTAGTACCTGGAGTCTGGCAGGATTTCTGGTCATAACACAACTACAAAACAATTGCTATTTGAACTGCATTGTTGGCAGTTTTCAGTCAGGCTAGGGTTTGCTATGACTATCAATAAGTCATAGGGTCAATCTTTAAAATTAGTTGGATTGGATCTACATACTCCTGTATTCTTACATGGACAGTTTTACATTGGTGTTTCAAGAGGGACAAATTGGGGAAGTGTTAAGGGTGTATACATGGAGGGTTTCTGGAGAAATCCGGTAAGACTTGGCTTTAGCTTATAGGCTGCACCCTCGGGAGATCGTGTGGTCCAATTTCAAACGGGCAGACGGGAATCCTGGGGAGTTCAGGTGGAGTTCGTAGGTCGAGAGGTTGTGGGTCGAGAGGTTGTGGGTCGAGAGGTTGGGGAGTCAAGATAGATAAGTCAGAGGTTGAGTGAGAGATGCGTCGGAGCCCATGGGCTCTGACTAATGAGAGCGGTGTAATTCAAAGAGGAGTTTAGAGCAGAAAATGTACTGGATTACTGGGGAGAATCTAATCTGATTTTCTAACTGGATTGTATGTACAACATCTGCCAGACTATATAGACTGTGGAATGAATAACATACCAAATCCAGTAATAATGAAAATGAAACTAGCAAACATAAAATGAGATAAGTAAACACCAAACTTGGTGTTAGGAAAGGGACGGAATGGGGCAGAGTCTGAATTGTGACAGGTCATAAAACCATAATGGGAACAGAGCGGGAGTGGAGTCCGAATCGTGACAGGTCATTTGACTATAATGGGAACAGGGCTCAGTTAGAGGGATGATGGGTTTTCCGAGCGGGGTCTGGTGACTGATGTGTGGGACAGAGTCAGACATAGATAGGGATGGAGTCCAGCAGGTATTCCAGTGACTGATACATGAAGTAATGAAGTCAAATGTGGACAAGTCTGACATACAGAGTCTGGCAGGAATTCTGGTCATAACAGGAAGAGTGAAAATCCTACTCCATGACTGTGAAGAGTGGCAGAAGTTCTGACCGTTCTATATACGAAGAAATAAGTAGAAAGGAAGGATATTGACCTATTCGGTGCAATATAAGAGAAAGTGAGAGAAAGAGCACGAGATGACGAATGAGTCAACGAGTGCAATGGTTCGAGTGGAGGCCTCGACTATTACAGTTCGAGGCCAGAAGTGTTCAGTAGTTCAGATAATGCTACCTAAGTGGTAGCTGACACGTTACCCTGATCACCGCTTGTAGTAGACCTAGTTTATGTCTTATGAGTGGTGGTTCTTGGGTTAAAGTGTGTCTGAGTTCTAATTGGTGCTGAGTGCACCCACAAGTATACACAATGCTTTGAACTAATGAAATATGCAATATTCGAAGAATGTGAAAGATAGTAAAATATGAATAGAATATGTAAAATATAAATGAAATAAAAGGAGTGTTTTACCACAATGAAACTGTGGTAAAAGCATACTCCTCACAATGACACTGATATGACTGCAAATGTAATGTTTAAGGATGTTATTATTGATCCATGAGTAAGTATTCAGCAAGATTTCAAAAGGAGACTGACTTATGTCTTTTAGATTCAGTGAATTCACAAGAGTATATAATTGTATATAATTATAAATAATTAATGAACTTTAATCACTTTAAAATAAGTTTCTCTGAATTAGATGACATGCCTTAATAAATACTTAAAATTGTTGATACAGAGTAAAGTTGTGGGGTGGGGTAGTGGGGTGTGGGGGCTTTGCCCCCCACGGGTCATACATAGCCAACTATAACCCGCTTCTTTAATCACACGTGATCGCTATTTTTAATTCTATTTGTCATCATGTCTTTTTTTATCAGTAGGCCTGCCAGTTAGCCAATATGCCTCGTCGTAAGCCTGCATCATCAAAACATCGCAAGGCCGAGTTACAGTTTAAACGTGCTGTGAAACGAGGCGACATCCCGGCACCCCCCCCACAACTCAAGTTATCTCGGGGAAAGAAGCTATCTCGTCGCGAGATCGTGGGTGGCTCAGCCATCACAAAGGCTAGAAGAGATCCTTCTTTCAACCATCTCCAATCAACCTTTCTCAAAGTTGAACCATTATTCTTGGCAGCCTCGAAAGTTATCGCGTCTACGGTGCTGTTAACTCGACCATTACCCCCAGAAATTGCAGCTTTAAGCGTCGACGACGTTGGTTTATCTACAAATGATAAGTTTGGAAGTCAATTGACGTGTCCGAAACGACCCAAATGGCGATTTGACATGGCAAAGAAAGAAGTTGAAGCGAACGAGGAGGCCATATATCAAAAATGGTTAGTGGAGATCGATGACAC